ATGTGGATTTGCAAGTGTTGAATTCTGCCCACGAATCCCCTTCAGACTCCTCCTTTTTGACATTAAGTTCTTGCAGCTGATTAATAAGAGCCAGGATTGTTCTCACATAAATATGGCAAACCAAAAATGAGRGCAGTCATCAGTGAGGAACTGGAATTTTTCACAAAAGGAAATTCCTTCACTCTGTTCTACATGTTCATTTTAGAATTGCATTAATTGCCTTTTTGAGATGGCCTACTTCACTGACTATTGAAAAAGCCTRTGAGAATTGCATAAATTACTTGTCTAAACTCTAGAACAGCTAAAGATAGCTAAGATAATTCTATTTAAAATGTGTTAATCTTGACATGGCTCTTAAAGACCCGTGTTCTAAGTAGCAGAAATGCTCAGCAATGAATTGAAATGAATAGTAACTTTGCTCCATGCTTTAGAAACCATTGCAAAATATAAAGTACTCTCTAAAACCAAATCCCAGGAGTCCCAAAATCAATGGATACTTTCATCTTACTGTCTCCATTTCTAGTTAACACAGGAATAATGACCCCACATCTGAAAGGGATGTTTGAAAGTTTTTTAATTGTAATATTTATGAGGCTGCGAATACACTAATGAGTCCCAAWGTATTGCCCTGGGGGAAATGAATATTTCTTCTTCAAAGGGGCTTAAACAGTGGGAACAGATGAAGTATGTGTCTATACAATATGAAAAAATATTGATTAGCAATTAATTATACAATTAATTAATGGTACATTTAAAAAGGGTATTTATCTTGAGATAAAGTTTATTTAACTTGTGAGAGAAGCTATTTGCTGACTATTCACATCTTATGCTCTGAATCTTATGTCTAATGTGTCTAATAACACTTAGTAAAAGATCCTTTTAGATTTGCAGATTATCTCAAAGATTAAAGCACCAAACTGTGTCTTTATAACTTAGAAACTCCTAATTGTTTAAGTATTTAAAATAACATATGATCAATTATGCCCTAAACTTGCATTTTTAATGTAAAAATGACCATCCATGAAACTGGGGGCACAGAGTTACTAGCATGAAGTGAAATAGAATAAAAAGACTCAATACAAGAACATCACCTAAGGGCACATTAAAAAAAAGAAAAAAAAAATTAAAAGCTTATATTTCCCCGTGTTTATTTTTTTTTCGTAAACTAGGATGAATGTGCAAATTACATCCGTGTCCTTCACCGATACAACAGGACCCATCTTCTGGCTTGTGGAACAGGAGCTTTTGATCCAGTCTGTACTTTTGTGAGAGCTGGACATCCATCAGAGGTAAGAAATTTGGTTTACAGTGTTGATTCTTTCAGATTTCTAGATTCCAGCAAAACCTCGGTGGTTAAAAATAAATGTTTAAGTTCAATTGCTCACAGTTCTTACATGAGCCACACAACAGCTATTTTCTCTGATGAAATTGTAATGCTGAACTAAAATTTAGCTTGTGATTAGAGGAAATAACTAATATTCTAAAGTATATTCTGGAGAATTAAACAAAGAATTCAAAGATTTTTCTTATCTTAGGTTTTTGGTATCTTTTTTACTAAATAAGATGATAATTTTTTTACGAAGTAAGATGATAAATCCTAAAAATTATTAAATATTTTAGCAGGTTTTAGCTAAATCACTGGGGGTTTGGGTTTGTTGTTGTTGCTTTGTTTTCTTTTAAAGTTAAATAATGCATCATGTATCAAAATATGTGTAAGTTTGATGTGAGATGGATTTTTTTTAACAAATTTTTGGTACTCCAGCTTTTTTATATTGGTCCTATTCAGCAAGTACATGTAAGCTCCTTAATGATGTTTTTAGCTGAGTGAAATGTGCTAAAGAGATCAATAAGTGGAACATATAACCAATATTGTGAATATGTTTCTAATTCAAAAATAGAAACTGTCTAGACTTCTCAGAAATGGTGATTCTTTCTCAGTTATGTTAGAACAGGTTGAAAGGCTCAGCAGAAGTACCAACCTCTCATTTTATATCAATGTGTAAGACCCTTCAGGCATTAAACCTTGGCTGCTAAAGGCACGTGTGATGACAGCCTTAGGAATTGGAGCAGGGATTCTTGGAAATGCACTTTGTGAGGTGGGACTGAATAGATGGAGACGATCTCTAGCCCAAGATAAGATTGTTTTTAGCTGGCAGGTGTCAGGAAGGGCTGCTGGTCCATGGTCTCGTTTTGTTGTTCACACAATGTCTCCTGCTGAGCACTTGTCGTGGAGCTGATGCTAAAGCACCATCCAAGAGAAGTTTTGCTTTCCCCTATGGCCAGGAGCTCTTGGCTTCAATAAACAATAATTGCAGATATAAAGCTTTTTAAAGTGTACTCATCTAAATCARCTAAGGGATTTGTTTCCTGCAAAATGTTTTTGATTAATCTTTTCTGAGTAACAATGCATACTTTTGACAAAACGAACTAGAACATCACCAGAAGCAATCTCCAAGAATCCAATCCATGCTGTGCACCTTCAACTGTTGTCAAAATGAGAAGCATCTCAGAAGCTGGGCCTTCAGCACAGCACTTCAATTTGGAGTTATGTGAATTGCAGAAAACTCTGTCTTTTGAAATTAAGGAAGAAACTAGCTAATAAGCAATGTTAAAATAAGGCAAATTTGTGTGTCTTTGCTCCTCTCACAAACTTAGGGTCAGGCTTCCCGGTACAATTTGAAGGAAGCAATGTCTGTATATTTAGGAATACTATTTTAGAAAACATAAACAACAGACTAATAAAAATAGAAGCCCACAAAAAAAAAATTACAAACAATATATATATATATATGACTCTGTGGCCTTTGTGGTCGTCCCCTTATCTATCACTGTCCTTCCTTCCTTTATTTTTGTTTATTATTCTGCCTTGTCATGCTGACGTTCTAAAATTTTACCCACACTGAAATCATGGGAATTTTTCCTTTTTTTTTTTTGGTTCTGTAGACCAACAGGAAATATTTGCTACACTAATAAGTAGCTATACTACTTCCTGTTATCTGAAAAGCTGACCATCAGGATTAAAAAAGACAGGTGCCATTTATATGGTAGGTTAAAAATATCACATGGTATGTAGTTGAGTGGGCAAACTGTAATCTTGCTTTCTTTGATAAAGGCATGGTGTAACTGCAGGAAGTGAAAGGACAAGATCCTTCTTCAGAAAACTGCAGTTCAGCCTCTGCTGATCTATCTGGTCAGAGTATTCTCTTCCAAAAACATCCAATTATTGTCCCCTGTTTCTTCCATTTCATCTCTCTCACTGTCTATCATGGAAAGGAGAGTAGCAAATGAAACAATATTTAAAATATAACTCTGTACCTGTTTATACCTCAGCATGTTTTGAGTAGCACAGGATGTGTTTGAGGCTCRTATGCATTTGAACAATGACATTTCTCAGTGTTGAGGAATAAAGTGTGGGATGTAGGAAAGGAGGGAGCCTTTATGGCAAACTTTTGTGTACCCAGACACACAACTAATGCAGCCTGTGAAGGCAGATGCACATTTCCATGCAGATCTATGAATCAGGAGTATCAACATAAGAGAAATACTTGCTCTGTGATCAGGGACCTTAACTACAAGTTTCAATAGTGCTCCCTGAGCTGATGGCAAAGGGAGAATGTGACTTTCTCAGTAAAAATTGTAGGGTTCTTAAGTTACCAGCTGTGTATAAATGTAAGCTAGAGATGATTTTAGAGAGGCATTTAAGCACATGATGTAACAGCAGGACTGTATTTTCTGCAATATTACCTCTTCCCATCTACTGAGGAAGCCAAAGGGTAGTAACCTGTTGGAACTAAACATCCAGCAAAGGCTCATGATCTCAGTCATCACATGGTGCAGGGACATTTATTTTGTAGTTGGCTCACAACAAAAGTTTGCAAAAAGTCATCCATTTCTGAACAGCCATGTGGTAAGAGAATGAAGCATTGCTGGTTTTCCTTTGAACAGTGAAAATATCCTAAAGCCATGATCACAATCATGCTGCATGGCATCCTGATTTRGTAGGGGTTTGTGAGGTGCAGCACACTTTATGAAAAGGAACATTCTGCCTCCTGTATAAATCTTGCATACTTTACAACCACAAAATCATCTTTTCATATCAAAACCAGGTTTGAGTGTGCCTTGCAGAACACTGAGCTCTTGTCAACAAATCGCGAAGCCTAAAAGAGATTTTTTGTCTCCAAAAACAGGCAGAATTTGATGGCCTTGTTGGCAGAKCTTTACACCTTAGAACTGCCTTGAAAACAGAGCATCTAATGTTCTCAAAAAAAACAGCAATAATGTCCATTCCCYAAACAGTCTCTGTAGAAAGTATTCATCTTACTATGTAGTGATCAAAATGTGCTTTAAAATCTTTCACATTCACACTGTGCTATRATCCATTGCATAAGTTTCAACACTTCTTTTGTGCTTTCTATGGAAAAAAGACATTCTATAGAAATTTAATGATATAATTCATTTTGTCTTAACACGTTGATCAAATAAACCAACAAAAAGTAACCATTGGTTTTATTTAATTCTACATCAAACTTTTKTTGTACCACCAGAGTATAACCAAATATATTTTTCTGAATCAAATTACTTACAAATTCTATTATACACTATGTCTCCATTTGAAAGATTAAATATATAATGGTTCACTGCATTCTATTCCAATGTTGGTTTAATTGATTTCACTTTGGAATTCCAGGTTGTTCACTTTAGTAAAGCTGTTGTCAGTTATTATCTTTCTAAAAATACATAAGTGTAGTCAGTGAYAGCAGCTTTTTATCTTCTTCTCAGTTTTTAATTACTTTGACTCTGATCAGAGTTGCTTTTCCAAATTTAAACATTTCAGMAAAATAYCCAATGTTTTTCTGTCTTTTAGAAATAAATTACAAATTAGGACAAATAGGACTGCTGACTTTGCAGACAGAACAACTACTGGTGTTTGCAACAGAACATATTACAAACTCTTGTCCAAGAAAACACAAGCAAGTGAAATGCCAGCCAGTAAGTGAGTTCACTCTCTCCAACTTCATTAAATGCTTCCAAATGCCAAAAACCAATGCAGGTCAGAAAAGACTGGGTTCTTCCAGTTTTTGTTTGTATTTCATCCAGAAATGAAGGAGAAATCATTAAAATAAACATTTTTTTTTCCTGAAGAAGGCAAGAGCCAGAGACCCYGCATCCCAAATTTCTCATGAGCAATTACAAATGTATCCTTCCATGTCCTCTGTGAAAGAAAATCTGAGATAAGTCTTCAAACCAGACAGAGAAGATGAAGAAAAGTGCAGAAAAAAAATCATATTCTACTTCTGTTCTCACCAAATTGATATTTTTCCCTCTTGTTGCCTTTGATGCCAGCAAGGCAGTGTGGGACAGAGAAAAAGGGAAGCATCTGCATTTCGTCTCTTCCTTCTGCATTTGTATAAACTTCTCAAAGTTTTGGCAGCAGTGCTGAAAGAAGTGCTTTCTGTTTCAGTTTCTCCACATCTAGTTGCTATTAAAATAATTTTTCAGTACCATTCTGTGTAGTTCAGAATACTCTGGGTGAATTTTGATGAASCTTAGATAAATCAAATTATCTAGCTGCAGTCAGGTAATGATTTTATCTTTATGAGTTATCTATTCAGTGGAGCAAGTTTGTAGGGGTGCTCTGGAGGCCATCCAGCATCTAAACTGCCTTATTCACTAATTCACAAAGCACGTTTAACAAGTCCACATGGGGATTTCACCAAGTACAGCTAAAAATTACTCTTCCTCCATAGGACCTGCAAAATAAGCAGAAACTCCAAAAGAAAACGATGTGTAGTAACAATATTCCAAGTTTTTGCAAGCTATGTGGGGACAAGATAGAGTTGATTCCTGGAGAGAAAGGCATCTCTGCATGAAAAAACCTGTTGAGGGAACTAAGTTTATGGGAAAGAGCAGTGTATGAAGAATTTTTCCTCCAGAACACTGTAAATTTTTAATATGTACATGGAGCTGGCAGAGGGCCATTTTCAGTGCCTCATTTAACTCAGTAAACTGCCTCCAGCTGTATTTCTCCACTTCAGAAGGCTGATGGACTAAGCCACCCTTTCCACAAAATGCACTGGTGGTTTTTGGGAGTCTCCCCTGGGTGTTCCTAATCTGATGYATTCCTTATTATGCTATTTGATCTTCAATTAGCTGAGTGAGATTCTGCTTCTCAGGGRAGACCAACTCTAAATTCTAAGTCTTTGGTCCTGTTAGAGAGGACTTGCATTTTGAGAGCAGCAGAAGAGAGCTTGGAAGAGAGCTCAGTCAAGTTGGAACTTCTTCCTCCTAA